GGGGGGGGTGGGTCTAAAAATCGTACATTTGGAACTTGGTATTTTTTTTAGGTTATTATTAAAGGTTAGGATGGGCTAAGACAATTTCTGGGCCTAGCGGTGCGGCTAGAACAGGTTAGGGACCGAGCGCTGCGACGAAGAAAGGCAAGGGGGCCGAGCGCTGTGACTAGGACAGGCTAGGGAGCCGGGCGCTGCGGCCACATGACCAATTATATCTATGTGTTAAATATGAGATTCATGTACAAAATTGAAAGGGGGGGGGGTTCCAAAAATAGTTCTCTAGGAAATTACCTCGTGTCCTAGGGTAGATCCGCCAGTTGTTTCTTTAAAGTAAAACTACAGCTTATTTAATAAATTTCTCCTTTCATCAGAGAAAAACATGTCCGCCCTTGCTCGTCTTGCTGTCACCCCATGCAGCCGCATGATGATGATGCCCCGTCTTCAGCTGTCCGCTGTCAGGGCTATCCAGACCTCCGCTGTCAGCAAGGATATTGACTCCGCTGCAAAGTTCATCGGAGCCGGAGCCGCAACTGTTGGAGTTGCTGGATCCGGAGCTGGGATTGGATCCGTGTTTGGCTCTCTTATTATCGGATATGCTAGGTTAGTACATGGTGTCCCACATTAATCAGAATCAGAAAATTTAAAAGAACGAATCATTAAAGAAATTGTAAAAGCCTATTTTTAAATTATGCACGCAGAAAACACCAGTTTTTCGAATATTATGTGCGTATTTCAACGTCAAATCTTACTAATATGATATGGAACGCTCTGTACAGTGTACAATAGAGATAGGATTTATTAATGAATTGGAAGGAGTAAATAAACTATTTTTTTTGCTATTTATTAAAATTGAATATTGTTTTTTTTCTCTGTGATATGTAATTACTGTTTTTTTTGGGTTTTTTTCAATTTCTTTTTGGTATTCCCCCCCCCCCCCCCCNTTTTTCAGAGAACACTTTATTTTTTTAAGTTCAAAGAAAAAAAAAACTATCTTTCTTTAGCTTTGAGAATATTCTGTTACTTTCTTAATAGCAGGGCCGGGGTGTATATTATTAATAAAAAATCCTCCCCCCTCCATTTTGTCCCCCCAATTCCCCCCGAAAACCTACCTTAAAAGGCAAACTTAACTACAAGGAGTAGGGGGGGATGAATGTAAGAAAATATACACCCCTGCTTTAAAGCTTGAGTAACTTATTTATTCTATTATTTTCCAGGAACCCCAGCCTTAAGCAGCAGTTGTTTTCCTACGCTATCCTGGGATTTGCTCTCTCTGAAGCTATGGGCCTCTTCTGTCTTATGATGGCCTTCCTCCTCCTCTTCGCTTTCTAAACATCGAGAAGTAAATCCGCAATTTGTCCATCATTGATTGCGATTAGTTGATTTGTAGAATACTCTGTAGTTTACCCTAGTATTGTTATCTGCGCTTTATTCACTGAAATATTATAAACCTGACATGTTTACAGATTAGAAATGTCTGCTCTGGCCCGTATTGCTCTGACCCCCTGCGGTAGGTCTATGTTGACCCGGATGAATGTCCCCCTAGCAGCTAGAGCTATGCAGACCTCTGCAGGTAGTTATATGACTTTTTTTTAAGGGACAGACCGGCTATGTAAGGTAGTTGAACTGAGTATGCAGTGTTGTGGAAAGCTTCTTTAGATTTCATTTGAGACATACAAAACTTTTTAAAGATCTGTAAATCCTGAGTCTGCGCGCAAATTCGACGTTTGAAACTCCTACTTTAGGGTTGGATACGTTTTCATAATTCATTTTTTTGCATACTCAGTTTAACTTCCTTACATAGCCGGTCTGTCCCTTTAAAGGAACTAAACACGCAATTTCAAACGATCTCATTCATACAGTGGCATGTCCGGTTTACATATTTACCATTAATGAATAACCTTCATTTTTCTTGCTGAAAACTCAGGAGGGGTGTATATTTTTCTGA